TGTGGGAACACGGGCCACATGAAGGCCAATTGCCCACAATTGGGGGGAGGAGGAGCGCCGGGGACCAGAGGAGGAACCACGACGGGAAGGAACCGTGTGGGACCGTCCCACGGCGGCACGGGAAGAGGCGGTGCATCCACAAGCCATGCCGTCTCCGTCAACCAAGGTGGGACCCAAGCATGAGTGTACGCAATGACCGAGGCGGATGCGCGAGCGAACCCGGACTCCGTTGCAGGTATTTCCTTGTGAAAACTGTATATATTAGCCTTCGTGGTGTGATTATGCGTAAAGGGTTAAGGCCCAGCCACCGTGGCGTGGGACCGGGCATCACGGCTTCAAAAAAAAACCGAATGTAACCAAAATACTCACCTGAACCGGCGCCGGTCCAAGGCTAACCGGCGCCGGACATCCCAAAGGCAGCCCCTGTTTGCGACCGGCTCTCCCCAACCGGCGCGCAGGACGATTTTTCTTCAGCCAACCGGCGCCGGCCACCGGCCAACCGGCGCTGGACCTTCCCTGGGACGGGCCTGTTTGAGACTGGCCCTCCACAACCGGCGCCGGACCTTCCCTGGGACGGGCCTGTTTGAGACCGGCCCTCCACAACCGGCTCATTCGCCTACGAAATCCACCTAACCGGCGCCGGACATGGACCGACCGACGCCGGACTGTCGCTGAAGTAGCCTGTTTTCGACCGGCCCTCTTGACCGGCCCTTCGAACTGACCGGGCCAGGCCAACCGGTGCCGGTCAGGATTGAACCGGCGCCGGTCCGAAGACGTTTTAGGTATTAAAAAAATGAGGGGGCCGTTTCAGGCGGGACCGACCCCGTTTGAACCGTAAACGCACCCTAACCTTAATTATGTCTTAGACATGCTAGAGGTGGTGTCTTACATGACTTATAAATGTAGGAACATTAAAGATTAACGGGAAGGATGCACGAATCCTTATTGATACCGGGGCACAACGCTCATTTGTGAGTGAGGCGTTTGCCGAGGGCCTTGACATGCCATTGACGCAAATGACGCAAACCTTGATAGGTTCCACACCGTTAGGAGACGACGTAGAGAGGAATCATTACTATCCATCATGTGAGGTGGAAGTGACGGGTCAACCTTTGACTTGCAATTTTGTACCTCTAAGCATGTTGGAGTTCGATGCAATCCTAGGAATGGATTGGCTCGAGAAACACCATGCTCGAGTAGATTGCTACACCAAGGTGTTGGAGCTCGAGGATGACCAAGGAAACACGCTATGTTTCGAAGAAGATCGGGGAAGGTCTCATGCTTGTATCATATCCGTGATGAGAGCACGGAAGATGATGAAGAAGGGATGCCATGCATACCTTGCTTACGTGGTAGACGACACAAAAAAGGAAGTTGATATCAACGATGTACGCGTCGTGTGCAAGTACCCGGACGTCTTCCCCAAAGACCTATCGGGGCTTCCACCCGATAGAGAGATTGAGTTTGTAATTGAAGTGGAGCCGAGAACCAAACCCATTTCGATTCCTCCTTATCGAATGGCACCGGCCGAACTTCAAGAGTTGAAGGTCCAACTACAAGAATTATTGGACAACGGGTTCATCAGACCCAGTCATTCACCATGGGGAGCACCCGTCCTCTTCGTGAAGAAGAAAGATGGTACACTAAGAATGTGTATCGACTACCGACAATTGAACAAGGTCACAATCAAGAACAGGTATCCCTTACCGAGAATTGATGACTTGTTTGATCAGCTTTGAGGGGCAATAGTATTCTCGAAGATTGATTTGAGGTCGGGGTATCATCAGTTGAAGATCAAGGAGAGTGACATACCCAAGAGTGCATTTCGCACTAGATATGGTCATTACGAGTTCCTTGTGATGTCATTTGGTTTAACCAACGCACCGGCGACATTCATGGACTTGATGAACCGTGTGTTTAGTGAATACTTAGATCAATTTGTGATAGTATTCATTGATGACATCTTGATATACTCCAAGAGCGAGGAAGAGCACAAACGACATTTGAGGCTTGTACTTGATCGGCTAAGGGAAAAGCAACTCTTCGCCAAGTTCTCTAAATGCGAATTTTGGCTCAAAGAGATTGGTTTCCTCGGTCATGTTATATCCGGTTCGGGCGTTGCTGTGGATAACGCCAAGATAAAGGCTATCATGGATTGGGAGAGACCTAAGAATGTGAAAGAGATACGTAGTTTCCTTGGCTTAGCGGGATACTATCGTAAATTTGTTGAAAAATTTTCTGTATTGGCGTCTCCATTAACGAAGCTCACAAAGAAAGGGGCCAAGTTCATATGGGACGACAAGTGTGAGAAAGGGTTCCTTGAACTGAAGAAGCGACTTACCGAAGCACCAGTCCTCGCCCTACCCATACAGGGGATAGGGTATGATATTTACAGCGATGCTAGCATCCAAGGGCTTGGATGTGTTCTGATGCAAAACGGTAAAGTGATTGCCTATGCTTCTAGGCAATTGAGGAAACACGAGGTGAACTACCCTACCCACGACCTAGAATTGGGGGCGGTACTGCGGTAGTGTTTGCACTGAAGATCTGGAGGCATTATCTCTACGGGGAGACGTGTCACATTTTTACAGATCATAAGAGCTTGAAGTATGTATTCACTCAGAAAGAGTTGAATATGAGACAGAGGAGATGGATGGAGTTGATCAAGGACTATGACTTGATCATCGACTACCATCCAGGAAAGGCCAACGTCGTGGCCGACGCACTGAGCAGAAAGAGTACGTCGGGGACGCTACTCACATGTCTACAGGCATTGAGGGCACGCGTGGAGGTGTCCACGTGCGGGGCTCTCATTGCTCGATTCGAGGTTAGACCTACATTGCTGGGTGAGATCAGTAGATGTCAGGCCATTGATGAAGAGTGTCAAAAGATTCGTGAACGGATCCTTGAAGGGCCCGTTGAGAACTTCCGAGTACGCGACGACGGTCTATTATTGTTTAAGGATCGTGTATGCGTACCAAAGAATGAAGAACTCCAGAAGTCTATACTCGAGGAGGCTCATTCTTCGGCTTATGCTATGCATCCAGGAGGTACTAAGATGTACCGAGATTTGAAGGAAAGTTACTGGTGGTCGGGTATGAAGAGGGACATCGCAGAGTATGTGAGTGGATGCCTTACTTGTCAGCAAGTTAAGGCAGAGCATCAGCACCCAGCAGGGCTTTTGCAGCCACTCACCATCCCAGAGTGGAAATGGGAACATGTGACCATGGACTTCGTGGTGGGGCTGTCACGAACAGTAAACAACTACGATGCAGTATGGGTAGTGGTTGATAGGCTCACCAAGAGTGCACACTTTTTGCCTATCAACATTACTTATCCTCTTGAAAGATTGGCCAAGCTATACACGGAGGAGATTGTGAGATTACATGGAGTCCCAATATCCATTGTCTCGGATAGGGATCCACGATTCACATCCCGATTTTGGCCAAAGTTTCAAGCATCGTTGGGTACTAAACTGAAGTTTAGCACAGCTTTTCACCCACAGACGGATGGACAGTCCGAACGGGTGATACAGATTTTGGAAGACATGCTTAGGGCATGTGCGCTGGAGTTCCAAGGAAGTTGGGACAAGCATTTGGCCTTAGTGGAGTTTGCTTATAACAACAGTTATCAAGCAAGTATCGACATGCCTCCATATGAGGCATTGTATGGGAGGAAATGCAGAACACCGTTGTGTTGGGACGAGGTTGGCGAGGCCAAACTCGAAGGGATAGAGCTGGTCGAGATCACCAAGGCTAAAGTGAGGATCATTCAGGAGAGACTGAAGGCTGCTCAGGACCGACAGAAGAGTTATGCTGATAAACGGCGGAGACCATTGGAATTCGAGGTCGGTGATGAGGTTTTTCTAAGGATTTCTCCTTGGAAGGGCATCATTCGATTTTGTATCGAGGGGAAAGCTTAACCCCCGATACATCGGTCCATTTGAGATCCTTGAAAGGATTGGGGCTGTGGCTTATCGTCTCAAGTTAACGCCTGAACTTGAGAAGATACATGACGTGTTTCATGTATCAATGCTCAAGAAGTACATACGAGACCCGTCTCATATTCTTGAGAAACCACCGGTAGAGATCCGTGAGGACTTGCAATATGCGGTTGAACCAGTGCAGATTGTTGGTCAACAAGTTAAGAAGTTGAGGAACAAGGAGATTCCCATGGTAAAGGTTCTTTGGAGGAGTGATCGAGTCGAGGAGGAAACTTGGGAGACCGAGGTCTCAATGAGGGAGCAATACCCATTCCTTTTCGATTAGACACGTGGATTTCGGGGACGAAATCCCAAATAAGGGGGGGTGAACTTGTAACACCGTCCCCAAATGTATTTACTTTTACGTAAATGATGTAATAAACCTTATGGGATGATTTATGAATTTACGAAGTTGTAAATTTTTATATTTCTTTCGCGTGAATAGTAAATTGCACGTGGGACCCACATCGGGAGCGGGGACCACCCAACATTCCCGAGACCACATATTTTATTCATCTTGGTCAAGATAATATTTATATAGTGGTGGATATTTCATTTGGGCTATGGAAAGGCCCAGAGTTGACCGATTGGTCAAGAGAAGCCCAAATTACCGGTACTGGTAATTTAACAGATAACAGCCCGAACTGAATTTTGGAGGCTTATAAATTAAAGTTGGGGAATGTACATTCATTATAAGGGTCATAATGATTAAGAACACATAATATATTTTATTTGACGCGATAAAATAAAATATATTTAAAACAGTCCGAAAAATACAACTTTCGGGGCCGATTGTACACTTCGGGACTTAAAGGGATGACCTCCCACATGTGTGGGGGCCAACCCACGAAATTATGCACTCAAGACCCTGTCTTGGACGGCTGAAATGAAAGAGGGGAATGGGGGGTTGTATGGGTTTGAGTTGAGAAGCATCTAAGGACAAAGGTGGGCTCCCATCCCACACTTATTTGTCATTTGAGACAAAAGTGTGTACCCTCCCTCATCCCTATCATCAAGCTCGACCAAGACCTCAATAAAGGAAGAGGAAAAGCTCTCAAAACCACCTCCATTGTTGCAGCACGAACTCAATAAAGATTGGTCCAAAAAGGAAGATTAAAGAGAGAAAAAGTTGGGAAAAGTGTGAATAATTAAGGTAATGACCTTATTATAACTTTCCCTCTATTTTTCCTTGACAATATAGGATATATATCACATGAAGGACACTTAGTATGGTTCCACATGTTATAAGTATGGATTTATGGGTTGGAAGATGGTTCTATGTCCAAAAACGGACTTAGAAGCCAAAACGACCGGTTCACCGGAAAATAACCTTTTAGAGGTTATTGGTATTAATATGAGTTTTATGATTATAAAACCTTGTTAGACACTTGTAAAGGGTATTTCAAGTGATTTCACAAAGTTGGAAAAGTCGCCGGAGTTGTCGCCGGAGTTGACCAAAAGTCGCCGGAGTTTCACCGGAGTTCAACCAAGAAGGGTAGAACTTCATAACGCTAGTTCAAGGTGAGTGGACGGCTTAATATCTTATAACTTTTGGGTTAATTATGAGATTACCTAAATATATGTTATATGAGTTCATAATGATGTTTAAAAGATATTTAAGCATGTGATTAGCCAATAGGGTTAAGTTTGTATGAAAGAAATTACTTGTTGATGCATGGGATATGATATGAAGAATTATATGAAATGCATATTTGTTTGAAGTGTATTAGAAGCACAAATGAATATTATTAACTTAATTATATGATGATTAAGTTGATACACACAAGGCATGAAATGGCGGTCAACGAAAACGTTGTCCGATGGACAAAGGATTTAATTAATACCGGTTGGTATTAATTAATTATAAATCTATATAAATGCATGGTTTTGCATGGATTGTGATACATAAGCTTTATGTGTTGAATTAGTTATGAGTAACTAAGTATGATATAGACTCTATCTAGGTTGATAGAAGGTTGATCATAGGAGAATATTTTGGTGGAGGACCCTAGTACTTAAAAGTACTTAACACTCAAAATTTGGTGGAGGACCCTAGGACTTAAAAGTCCTTAACACTCGGATTATAAATTGGTGGAGGACCCTAGGACTTAAAGTCCTTAACACTCGGATTATAAATTGGTGGAGGACCCTAGTACTTAAAAGTACTTAACACTCAAAACTTGGTGGAGGACCCTAGTACTTAAAAGTACTTAACACTCAAAACTTGGTGGAGGACCCTAGGACTTATGAGTCCTTAACACTCACAAACCGGTGGAGTACCCAAAGATTATGATCCTCAAAACTCATAGATTATGATATTGAAATAGGGACAAGGAGGAGTCCTATACACTCATAGGTATATGGGTGGGTTGGGGTTTTTAGTCAAGAATATTGACTATTACTATTTTTCCCAAATAAAACGGTGATCTACGGATCGGATATTTTCCAAGTATATATATACTAATAAGTATTTCATAACTTGGGGGAAAGACTATTTATTTAAGTATCACCCTATGTTTGGGTCTTATACTTGAAACGCTAGTTATTCTATATGTAGCCTGCTACTCGCTCGGTACTTGTACTGACCCCTTCGGGGGGCCCCACCATTTTCAGGTTGAAGCTAGGGCTTGCTACTTGCACCTCCTCACGAGTGATATCATATCGGGAAGACGTGGTTCGTGCTTTCCTTATTTTCTTTCAAACTACCGAACACTTGCTCATGGATATTTGTTTTACTATAAACTATTTTTGGGGCTTGCATGCCCATGTTGTTGGCCGGTTGTGGCTCATGACTTACCGTTTAATATTTTCGCTATTCATTGGTTTAAATGTGATGTTGTTATGTATGTTTACTACTGAGTATGGATGGATTGTTTTCTAGAACGCCTTGTGTAATTAAGTGAGGTTGACTCGTGGGTGACGTCACTTGATTAAACGGCGGTTGTACACGCGCTTGGATTGCGGTCTGGGGCGTGACATATATAGGAAAAAGGTGTTAAGGAAAGCAAGAAACAGATGCTGATAGAAAAAACATATCCCAAAAGATATGAAGAAAGAAGATTGGGAAGATTTTGTGGAGTTTTGTTCTACGCCAGCAGACCAGAAGAGGCGTTAAAAAGGCAAGAAATCTAGGGGATGCATTAAGAGGCTACATTCATCCGGTAGAACTGATTGTGCAAGGATACCTCACAAAATGGTAACTATTATATTTATCACTAATTCAGCCATACCTTTGCAACCTTTTGTTTTTCACAGAATGCTTGTGTACGCTTCAGGTTTTAAAAAAATATTGGGCATGTTAACGTTTCATGTTCTGCCAATTTCCATTATTATTGTAGGAATATGAATCTCAGTGTTCTGATTTCGTGGTGTATATGATATTTTCAAGAATAAAAGATGATCTACTTATTTTATAAAGTGGCTGTTACCATCTCTACACAAACCAGAAAACTTTACCATAAATAATCTACATTGAAATCTCTCTTGAAATGATAATGCACACCCTTTTCTATTGTTGTGTGTTTATAGAAAAAGGAGAGTCTTACCGGGGACGTCAATAGAACTGAACTATATTTGGTCACACATGCTAGAAAGGTTGGTTCTACTTCCATGAGCACAAGCGAAGGCTTGGTAAGTTTAACATTTGTATAAAGCTTATAATTAATTAGTTATTGAAAGATCTTTTGGCTACACTTAAATCAGTTAAATGTGTGAGTAAATCTTATTAGTGGCATCTTACAGGACCAAATAAGATAGCTTGTAGCTGATAATCCATACTTGGGACAAAAAGATTTGGATCATGATGCCGTTGCGATGGTTTGTGAAGTTACAGTTTTTTGTTTATATTATGATGCACCTGTATTTGTTTAATGGATAACATTATCAACAGAAGATGCATTTCTATCTCAGGTATGTGGGATTGATGGAAAGGGTTATGTGCGTGGTATGGGTGGAGGTGTTACAAAGACTGAGATACGTGCTTCAGGTCCTTCTAGAGAAATTGCTCGCAAAGAAAAGCAACAACACGAAATGGTTAGCAATGAAATACAAATACTTAGAGAAGAAGTAGCCACATTGAAGCAACTGGTACAAACTAACACAACCAGATCTTCTGAGCAGTCTCAAGAGTTCTGTAATACTACTCGGGTAAAATAGTTTGCTAATTAACTAATTAAAAAATTCACTACAGGCACAACCTCATGCATATGCCGTTGGATATAGACCTCTGTGGTTTCTATATATAAAAATATTCATATCCCGTAAAGTCCTGCCCATGTTCTCTTACAAATTGTAGAGTCTAGACTAGTTTGTTTGTTCTTTACTAGCCTTAGTTCTAGATAATATCTTTTACTCTATGCAATTGTAATTGTCCCTTTTGTGCTAGAACTTTTCTCTTAAAAAACTTTCAAAATAAAAGTTTCTGAATTGTAGAGGTAATCATTGAGCTTTCTTCCTCTAATGCTTTTAGTAATCATTGATTATGAATACACACATATCTGATTTTTTATTTGTGTTTTAATATGTATTTACAGTTTTTGGTGGATGTTGTTTGACTGCTATGCAGGTCAATGTGTATCACTACGTATTTTGCAAATATTAAGTTCCACTGTAATGCATTTGGAATATTAATTGACTCAGTACATGTATTTCGGCTAATTTGTTAGTTAATTTTTAAAGCAATATTACTAATTAATGTTTTCTAATGATTATAGGGAGGTGAATCTGGCCTCACTACAAAGTCTACAAGGGCATGTTTTTTAAAAAAACTTAAGGAAAAAGGTCATTCCTTATGGACGCCATAATGAGGAAGCTCCACCAAATGAAGAAGTTTATAGTATCATTATTGATGAAATATTTGATGGTACTGGTTCCTATATGACAGAGATGAAAGGTTTGAAGACATATTGATCGGTGAGCTCATCAATTGGCCAAAAGCAAATGTCCACTTTACGAGGATCAATTAATGTCTTTTTGTGCTACTTTTGCTCATGTTTAGTTAGCTTGTTCCGAGACTACTTCAATATTAGTTCAAAAGTTAATTTGGATCATGTGGTTAGTTGAACTTGATGATCAAAGGATTTTAGACATCACATAATTTTGGTTGAGTTTTTTGCAGATGAATGGAAATTATATCACTTTATTTCTGTTCTCCTAAGATTTGTGGTTGAGCTTTATTGTTGGTGTGTATGATAAATAAAATTAAAGTACATGTTAGTAGAACAAAAAATGAACAATATTATAAACTATCTTCGACTTACATTTAAGGTCGTTAAACTATGATGGCTTAAAGCAGTCGTTGTTCACAATTTGATATCAACAAGCGAAAGAAGTCGATTTGTTTTTTGACTCTTTTTTTTTCGACACCCACTTCGACGGATCAAAACTGTCGAAAATACCATTTTTCGACTGTTTTTACAAGTTGAAAAAGGTCAGTTTTGGCGTAGTGAGATGTGAGTATGTAGGATCCTTACCTGTCCATAGCCTCTCTGGAACTTCAAAGTTCAGTGGTACTGAAGGTGATCGGTTGATAAGATAGCATGCAGTGTTGACTGCTTCTCCCCAGAATGACTTCGGAAGTTTAGCCATATTCAGCATGCTCCGGACACGCTCCATGATAGTTTGGTTCATTCTTTCAGCAACGCCGTTGTGCTGAGGGGTGCGTGGTACTGACTTCTCATGTCGAATGCCATATTCTCTGCAATATGCATCGAACGCCTTGGAAGTATACTCGCCTCCATTATCAGATCAGAGACATTTCAACTTCTTTCCTATTTCACGTTCCACCAAGACGTGAAATGTCTTGAAGCTCTCGAACACCTGATCCTTCGTAATCAGGAAATACACCCACACTTTCCGAGAAGCATCATCGATAAAAGTCAGAAAATATCTGCTTCCACCGATTGATTCCACCTCGAAAGGACCACAGACACCGGAGTGTACCAAACTTAACAACTCAGATCTTTTAGTTGAAGTAGAACTAAATGATACTCTATGTTGCTTACCAAACAGACAATGACTGCTAGGACCCAGTGTAGCGTTCTTGTCGATGTTGATAAGGTTCTTCTTCATCAAGGTAGTCAACCCTTTCTCACCGATGTGACCGAGTCTCAGGTGCCACAAATTCTGAGAAGTCTCCTCAGCAATATTGAGGCTATTCGTACAAATCCTCAAATGGGTTTTGTACAATGTGCCACAAACATGTCCTCGAGCGATTGTCAAAACGCCCTTTGACATTTTCCAGGTGCCCCTGTTAAAGTGGTTTTCATACCTTTGTTCGTCAAGACATACCACTGACAGGAGATTGAGGCGAAGGTCTGGAACATGTCTGACATCCTTCAAAGTGATTGTGCTCCCAGTACTCGTCTTTATTTGTACATCACCAATTCCAGCTATTCTAGAGGAACTAGAATTGCCCATCTTCACTGCTCTAAAGTCTCCAGCTTTGTAAGTTGTGAAGTAGTACCTGTGGGGAGTAACATGGTAGGATGTTGCAGTATCTACCACCCATTCAGTGTCCTCTCTTGAGACGTGAAGGCATGTTTCATCATTGATAGTACAATACGCCACATCACCTGAGATTGTGATGAGCGCTTCACCACCCTTGTTCTTCGCTTGAGAATTGTTCTTGCCTCGCTCCTCTAGCAATTTGTAGCAATTCTTCTTCATGTGACCCTCTATACCGCAATGGTGGCAGGTATAAGAAGGTTTTCGGCCATCCGATGATCTCCCCCGACTTTTGCCTCTGCTTTGCCACTTTCCTCTACTGTTTCTTTGTTGCTTTCCGTGTGGTCTTCCTCGATTCTCCGTCACAAGGGCATGAGTCTGATCTGTGCTCATGTCTTTCCTTCTTGCCTCCTCATTGAATAATGCATCCTTGACCACGGACATGGTAAGTTTGCCATCTGGAGCTGAATTGCTGAGAGTAACAACTAGTGTCTCCCAACTATCAGGAAGGGAACTAAGAAGTAGTAGAGATTGCATTTCATCTCCAAGTGGCATTTCTACACAAGATAGTTGATTTACCAGACTTTGAAATTGACTAGTATGTTCGGCAACAGAAGTTCCACTTTTGAGCTTCATATTGACAAGGCGCCTCATCGGTAGGGCCTTGTTCCTAGCGGTCTTGGCCTGGTACATATCTTCTAACTTCTTCCAAATGGCATAAGCATCGGTTTCTTGTGCAACATGGTGGAATACACTATGATCAATCCATTGTCGGATTTGACCAATAGTTTTTCTATTAATTATCTTCCACTCCGTTGACTTGGGCGGGTCAGGATAAATACCTTTCATCTCTATTGGATCAAAAAGGTCTTTACAGCTAAGGAAATCTTCCATCCGAGGTTTCGATAGCGTGTAGTTGGTAGCCGTGAGCATAATCATAGCTCCGGAAGATGAAGTTGACTCGTCAAAGGTCATTTTCACCTTCTAAATAATTTTGATTTTCTGTTTCAAAAAAAAATCGGAGCAGAATTTCAAAAAACGGGCAGCACCGTTGCGTCCGGAACGGCTGAAAATGGTGTGTAGGCACTTTCGGGGTCAAAATACAATTTTCGAAAAATTATAGGTGGAAATTATAATTTTCCAAAAATTGAGGGACCAAACTGAAAATTTTCAAAATTATAAACTGACCGGTAACGTGGCAGATGACGTGGCAGTGACGTGGCGCTGACTGTGCGTTGACGTGGCAGCTGACTGGGCGCTGGTGAAAGATGACAGTGGACTGATGACGTGGCGGCTGACTGTGCTGGGACTGTACTCGTGGCGCTGACTCGTGGCGCTGACGCAGCTCTGGATGGCTGATGATGTCAAGGATGACGTCAGCCGTCTTCTACCTCTGGACTACGCGTACTGCGCGTGATGACGCAGACAGTTTTTCGCCGGCGTTTGGCGGTGCGTACGACAGCTTCTGGTGGCCAAAAAATTCCAAAAAAAAAATTCAGTTTTCTCGTCTCGACGAGACAAATCCAACGGTATATTCAAATTGCAATTCCGAGCAATACTGAAAAACTCGATTTTTCAGACAGTAGAATTTGTCTAAAAAAAATCTGGGAAAAATATCAAAAGCTCAACCTGGCTCTGATACCACTTGTTGGGAATAACAGGATCGTGCTAATATGAGAGAAAAACACTTCTATTACTTTCAAGAATAGAAAGAAGAGACATACAAGCTCTAACAAAAAACTCTCAAAAACAACACCTCACATATCTCTCAAGGATATTCACTACACTCTTGGTTGTGCTATGATGATCTATTCTAATTTTCTTGATGATAGAAAGACTCTCCAAGCTCTCTGATCTATTTATAGTACCAAAACAAGGTAGTATGAAGGTGAGAGGAAGGTGGGATTAAACATGAGGAAACTTAAATGGTGGTTGAGGATGCTCCCTTTGTCATTCTTGCACATGGAGGAAGCTTCATGGTTGTTGCTTTCACATGTAGGAAGCTTCATGGTTGTTGCAATTGAATTCTTCAAATGGATACATGGGTAGGAGATTAATATATACGGACTACGGAGTACTCCGTAGTTTGTTTTATTTTTAATTACTAGCTAGTATATATTTCAACTGAATGAGCGTGCTAGCTAGCTAATACGTAGATAGTATTACGTTTTTTTGGAAGAGATAGTATTAGTGTATTACGTTATGTATTAGTTTTAATTTATTCTGTTTGGCTGCTTTAATCAATCAAGAATATCGATCTTCAAGTTCTTCTTTAATCTTTGAGTAACATTTCATTTGCAGCGCCCTAGCTAGTTTCTTGATAAATGACAATCAACTTTGACCAATAATATCTTTTAATACAAAATTATTTAGAATGTGAAAGTTATATCAAAATGTTTCTTATTCAAAATATTTTCATAATTAGGTCCATCATTCTCAAAGCTAAGAGCATCATTAGTGAGAGCATGGATCGTTTAAAAGTGCATTGCCACATCACAAAATAGACATTGAAATTATATTTTACTCTCCAACGGAAATGTGAGCATGGACTCCCTTGCTGAGTTGGAGTTGAATTTGTCCCACGATGTCTACTCCTCCGTCTAGTTTGAGAAGGCCTTCTAGCATGCTGACTCATCAAATTTTTATTTCTCACATTTGTTTTTGACGGCAAGTCGGCAATCTACGGCAGTTTCTTTTTCTTTTTGCAAGAGAACCTACGGCACTTTCTATATCGTGAGATATACAAGAGTTTAATTCAATACCGCATTGGAGCTTAAATATTATGTTAAATGTGTATCTATCCACGTCAGCTTCATAGATCGTCTATTTTGATGACATGTCCATTTTTCAAGGGGTGCAATTCACATTCCTACTAAAGATGCTCTAAGCTAGCTACCGCACTTTTTGCTTGCTTAAGTCGCGCGTAGATTTTGCTTCAAAGTTTTTAGCTTAGTGATTTCGGATCGGCTTGTGCGTTAGTTAGTTTCATCACGAGGCTTGCTTTTTTCTCTACCCGCTTTCTCACAACATTTTCATTTTGTTGTCTAAGCGTGCTTTTCATTTCTTAAAAGTGTGCTTTTATATTTGGAAGTTTAATTTCTTGAGGTGTGTTATAATCCTCGCAAAGCCTCCAAAATCTGATTGTCTTTAGTTCCTACAAACTCTACACAAACAAAGTTGTTACACAACTTCCTTCTGTATTTCCATACGAATTGAGTAAAGAGACGTACAAGCTAAGGTTGCCAATGATGTATGCAAAAAATTAAGGTGTACACCAAACAATTTTTTTTTTGTTTTGAAATTGCAAGATTTTTGTTTGTTTTTAAGTTATTGAGATGATACTACCTCCATTCCACCAACATTGGGACATGAGGGGTAACACACTTATTACGAAAAATGAATTTATGTGATATTCAATTGTCAAAGTAAAAATTATTTAGAACCACACAGACTATACCAAATTTGGTATGAAATAATATTAATGAGATGACATAATGATAAATGGAAATATGGAATGATGACAAATGCATTTTTAATGTAATTATTATTATTTCCCACTTTTCAAATATTTCATTGATAATTTTTAAATTCTAATATTCGAATGTCCTTTTTGTTTTTTTCATATTATAATTGAATGTTA